AATAGTCAAAGTTTGAGAAAACGATTTCACATTACTAGGGAAGCTGCAAGACAAATTGTACGACAGTGTTCATCTTGTCCTCAAACACAAATCATTCCTCATTATGGAGTTAATCCTAGAGGGCTAAAGCCTAACTAATTGTGGCAAATGGATATTACTCATGTTGCGGAATTTGGCAGGCAACGGTATGTACATGTTACAATAGATACATTTTCTGGCTTTATTATGGCTACTACACAAACAGGGGAAGCCACAAAAAATGTTATAACTCATTGCTTGACTTGCTTTTCCATAGCTGGGATCCCTAACATTATAAAAATGGATAATGGCTCTGGCTACACCAGTCAGGGGTTCCAGTGTTTCTGCTTGCAATTGGGCATTGAGCATAGAACTGGGATACCATATAACCCACAGGACAAGGTATAGTGGAAAGAGCTCATGGCACTTTAAAAGCACAATTACATAAACTAAAAAAGGGGGAGTTATATCCCCAGACACCAAGTAATCTCTTACATCATACTCTTTTCATTTTAAATTTTTTGAATTTGGACAAAAAATGACTGTTCTGAGGCAGATAGAATGTGGCACCCTCGGTCACAGGATACCTATGCCCAAGTCAGGTGGAAGGATCCTTTAACTGGACAATGGAATGGCCCCTGACCCTGTATTGATATGGGGATGAGGGCATGTTTGTGTTTTTCCACAGGACGCGGATGGAGCCAGGTGGCTGCCAGAAAGGCTGGTGAGGTTCACTGGGTGAGTGCCAGAAAGAGAAGTGGAAAAGAATGATGAGGCAGCAAATGTGGCTGATGATGATGTTTCCACAAGTGATCTTGGCTGAGTTATATTGGACTTATGTTCCTGATCCACCAATACTGCACCCTGCAATATGGGAAGCAAAAGAGATAGTAGTGACTGTGAATTACTCTCAATTAATCACTTGGCCCACTTCAAAACACCTGATGATGCAGTGAAAACAACAACAGATATTCTAAATCAGCTGAGAGCCACCTTACCATTGTGGTCCTCTATCACTTCCATTGTGAGTGGTTTAGCAGGACTTGGCATGCTTTTCCTCCTATGTCTTTGTTTTCTTCTGGTGGCAGTAAAGTTATTTATGAAATCCTTGTGGCAAGTCAAGGCTGCTGTGCATGATATGAGATTGCGCTCCCTCCCCTATCGGAGGCCAGTAGTCAAAGACGGGTAAGATCTTCTGGGAGAAAGTCAACCTAAGACAGAGCGTAGCTGACAGAAGCTACGTGCTGGTGATGGGTAAGGCTTTGCTCTAGCAGAAGACAACCTAAGACAGGCATGGTCCTTCTGTCCTGGATATAGCATAATCTGGGGTTATAAAAAATAAAAAAGGGGGAGATGTTGGGAGCTATTAGTATAAGCACCGCCATTATGTACACTGAGCTATGGCAGGCTTGTTTACTTTATGACCTTTTGCCTTGACTCAAGAGTTTTTGTGTTTCGCACGCAAGTACCGAATTGTTCTGCCAAGTCAGGAAGAATGTGTTGATAATTTAGGGAAGATGGTTAAATGGTTGAATTCACAACAAGTATTTGACCATTCCTTGACCCTCAGATAGAGGTGGGGAAAAAGAGCTGTTGATGCTAATTCAGCTAAGCAAACTGTGGCTATCTGATGTTCTACTGTATAAGAAGGCTAAGCTAAAATAACCCGGGGCTGCAGTCTCTACTGACAGTCCTCCCAAGTATCTTTTCTGTCTCTTGTTTTTCTTTCATCCTCACTCCCCTTTTCAGGTGCTGTTTGCCTTGGTCGGCTGGTTCCAGCACTCCAGCTGTCCTAGAACTCACTATGTAGACCAGACCAGGCTGGCCTTGAACTCACTGAGATCTGCCTGCCTCTGCCTCCCACATGCTGGGATTAAATTGTGTGCCACCATGCCTGGTGACAAGTAGAATTTTAAATTATTTGTCCAGCATTTCAAACATTTTGGTAACTTTGAAATCAGTAATTGAGAAATTATGAGCTTTTAGAGGCATTGAGCTGCCTTGCTTTTTCATGTTTTTTTATATTGAAATTTGAGCATCTATGGAAATACATATCTCTTCTGGTTTTATTAGGGAATCGTCAGTGGGTAGTTTCCTGAGTGCTTAATCCCCAGTGCTGCTGAGACGGGAGTTAGCAAGCTATTGTAGCAGCAAACACTTCAAACTGAACCAGATATTGAAATACATGTAAAAGTTATTAAAGCCAACTACTATACTACTACTGACTATAGAACAGAAGACATAAAAATAATGTTAATAAGCTACAAAGTTAAACATTCTTTAGGGTAAAAGTAAAAATAGTAAACAAAAGAAATAAAGAATGGGGTACAAAAAGGGGAAAAAGAAAAAAATACAAGGATAAATAAAAACTTTAAAAAGAGGTCTAGGGATGTAGCACAGTGGTAGAGCACTCGGGTAGCATATGTGAGGCCTTGGATTCAACCCCCAGAATTGCAAAATAAACACTAATAAAGGAAAGGGGGCGGGGTATAGTGGCACGCACCTTTATTCCCAACACTCAGGAGTCAGAGGCAGGTGTATGTCCGTGAGGTCAAGGCCAGCCTGGTCTGCAGGGAGACCCTGTCTCAAAACAACACACACACACACACACACACACACACACACACACACACACACACACAGAGGAAAGAAGGAAGGTAGGAAAGGAAGGAAGGAAAGAAGGAAGGAAGGAAGCTGGAGGGGGCTGTGTTTGGAGAGATGTTCAGAGTTGAGAGCACTAGTTGCTCTTGCAGAGGACCTGAGTTTGGTTCCCAGATGGTGACTCGCCATCTGTAACTCCATTTCCAGCAGATCCAACACCGTCTTCTGCCTCCACAGCCACTGTAGGCATATGGTGCACATACAGGCAAAACAGTTAAACACATAAAAAATAAGTCTTTAGCCGGGCAAGGTGGTGCACGCCTTTAATCCCAGCACTTGGGAGGCAGAGGCAGGTGGATCTCTGTGAGTTTGAGGCTAGCCTGCTCTACATAGTGAGTTCCAGGCCAGCTGGGGTCTAGTGGGAACACAGACATAATTTAAAAATAAATAAATAAATAAATAAATCTTTAAGGAAAAAGGAGAATAGGAAATGGGTGAGAAAAGAACAAGAGACAAACATCTGATTTACAATAATCAAAAATACATCAACAAAATTAGATACATGTAAGAGGAAGGACTAAAAACATAACAGGGTCCAGGGGGATGACTTGATCAGAAAGTGCCTGTTGTACAAGCACGAGAATAAGAGTTTGATCCCCAGCACCCACATAAAATCTGGACAATGGTGGCATGCCCCTGTAATCCTAGCACTGTGGAGGCAGAGACAAGAATATTGCCATCTAAGGGTCTTGATAGGGTTCATTTTCTTTACCAATTAAAGAATTTAAAAAGGAGCTGGAGAGATGGCTCAGTGGTTAAGAGCCCTGGCTGCTTTTGCAGAGGACCCAGGTTCGATTCCCAGCACCCACATGGTGGTTAACAACCATCCTCAACTCCAGGTCCAGGGGATTTGATGCCCTCTTCTGGCCCTTTTGGGCATTTCATGACACGGGTGTACTTGCATATATGCAGGCAAAATACTCATACACATGAAATAAAAATTAAAGGTGCTGGAGAGATGGTGGCACAGTGGTTAAGAACACTGGCTATTCTTGTAGAAGACCCAGTTTCGAATCCTAGCACCCACATGGCAGGGGATCTGACAGCCTCTTCTGTCCTCCGTGGGGACACAGGTGCACTTACCTATATGTAGGCAATACATGCACACACATAAAATTAAAAATTGAAATATTTTTTTTTTAATTAAAGAATTGTCGGGCGTAATGGTGCACGCCTTTAATCCCAACACTTGGGAGGCAGAGGCAGGCAGATCTTTGGGGGTTCGAGGCCATCCTGGTCTACATAGTGAGTTCCAAGACAGCTGGGGCTACAGGGAGATAAAGACAAAAAAAAAAAAAAAAGCAGGAAGACCCTCAGACACAGCAGACAGCAACAGGAAACAAATTTTATTAAAAATGAAAAAGCATATACACAGCAGAACAAAAGCAGAGAAGCAGTCTCCACGAGTGGAGTTGGAGTTTGGAAACGAATCCAAAGCCTCCTAGGAGGGCCTGAATTTTTAAAGTATTCTTGGTGGTATAGGGGCGGACCCCTCCCCTAATTTTGGATTGATCAACTTAAAGAAAAAAAGAGAGTGCTGATAGGCCCAGAGCACCAAGCTGCCATATGTCCCTAGGATTAGCCTTAGACTTACCTGGACTGGCATGGACTGGCATCCAGAAGGGGGCCATTCAGGTGAGGAAGGGGGAAGTTTTGTTAGGAGAGTGATTTGGGAGTATGGTGAGATTTAGGATTAAGAACAAGGTATGTATATACATTTATGAAATTGTCAGAGAATAGATTTTTAAATTATTTTTATTTCATGTGTATGAGTGCATTGCCTGCATGCATGTAAGTGCACTGGTGTTGTGCAATGCCCACGGAGGCAGAAGAATTAGATCCCTGAGATTGGAGTTATGGACAGTTGTTAACTGCCATGTGGGTGCTGGGAACCGAACCCAGGTTCTCTGCAAGAGCAGTCAGTGCTCTTAACCACTGAGCCATCTCTCTAGCCCCAAAGAATAGATTTTTTTAAAATGACTCCTAATGTAAACTTGGAGTGCTAGTGAGTAGCAGTATAGGTTCCTCAATTGTAACAAATGTATTGCTTTCATGGGGAATGTTGATAATCATGAGACTCATATGTGGTGATACCTGGATACATAGGAAATCTGTAACACACTCCTAATTTTCCTGTGACCTAAAACTTGAAAAAAAGTATTTTGAAAAAGTGTGTTATGTAGGGCTGGAGTGATGGCTCAGTAATCAAGACCACTTGCTGCTCTTACAGAAGACCCAGCTTTGTTTCCCAGTACCCACATCAAGCAGCTCACAACCTCCTGTAACTCAAATTCCAGGGAATCTGACACCCTTTTCTGGTCTTTGAGGGCACTGCATGCACGTGGTGCACATACACATAAAAATAAAATTTAAAACTATGCATATATATGTGTATGTTAGCACTATATTGCATTATGATAAACATAAAAGAAAATTGAAACTGGTTTACAAAAAGATGTGCTTCCCTACACAAGACTTGGGCCTGTAGATGCTCAGATCTATGCCAACATATCTGAAGATAAAAACAGCAAACCCTCACTGGATTCTGCTGGTCCTGCTTCATGTGGATCAAATTAAGTCACTTCATCCTCCAATAATCCCACTTTATAGGTGCGGTAATAGAGGAAGTTGTTTGGCATGCCCAGACTCATTAAGTGAACCATTATTGGTGCCAGGATTGAACCCTACCCTCACAGCTTTCACTTCTGTTCTATTTACATCCCTTTGCTCCCTACTTTGGGGTGATTACCCAACTTTCAAAGATGACCCACCCATCTATCTCCTCTTGACCCGTCGTTACCACTGACACTTGACGAGTTGGGATAAGCGACTATACTTTGGGTTCTCTAGCGGAATGGATTAGAACTCTGCAGGTAGGGGTAAGGATAATTGGACTTTTTGTGTCTGGTTTTGGACATAGTCTCACTGAGCAGCCCTGGCTGGCCTGGAACTTGCTATGTAGGCCAGGCTGGCCTCAAACTCAGAGATCTGCCTCCCAAGTCCTGGGATTAAAGGCATGCACCACCACACCTGGTTTTTTCTTTCTTTTTTATTATTTTGGATCTGATACTTTGGGATTTTAGAATCATTTTGGGATCTGGGGGAAAAAAGCACCCACATATTTCCCAGTTTCCTTAAGCAAATTAGTATCTGGAAGGTTTATATTGACTTTTTAGGTTTAGGAAGAGGCACAGCTCAGGTAGAGACTGGAGGTGAAGATGCCTGGCACAGTTTAGGGAGTTTGGTTCTCCCTGTTGGCACCTCCTATGCTGCAATGTAGAAAAGATCAGAGAACTGGTATAAGCCAGGGTCAACACTCCAAAATGCCCATCTTCAGGCATGTGCATAGACTCATGACGAATAGGGAAAAGATTCTAGTGAGTGCCTCAGACAAAAAAGCAAAATATACAAGGCAGTTAAGTGCTGTGGAGGATAAAAGGAGAGGGATTAGAATTTTGAACCAAGTAGGCAGGAAAGGCAGGGACGGGCTGGGTGGAGGTGTCACTGGAGGAAAGGCATGAAGGAGCAAGCGACCGGATAACATGAACTGTGCTCTTTGCAGAGGCATGACAAACACAAAGGCCTGGAAGCTGGAACTCAACTGATGTGTTTGAGGGAGAGGTTAGGGATGTGTATCTCCTCCCACTGCAAGCTGGGGGATCTAGTATTTGCTAGACAAGTGTCCTACCACTTAGTTAAATCCCCCAACCCCAGGGTTATTCTAATGAGTTTTATGAAAGTCAATCATTAAGGAAGGCAAATGAGTGTAAAGAACTGTGATGAGATTTTGACCCAGGTGACCTGAAAATTCTTACTTCAAGTCTTCTCCCTTTCAAAGTTGAGGGTAAAAGGGATTCAAAACACATTAGGCCAGGGGTCAGAAGGCAATGTAAGAGTTTGTGACAGATATCCTTGATATTATTGGCAGCTAATAAAGTGGGTGCCAGGTCTTGGTGTGACAGTACGGACCACTTACAGTCCCTGAAGTTTGTGTCAGTCTATATACCCCTCCCCTCTACTCTCTCTCATATTTTTTGAGGCAGGGTCTCCCTTTGTATCTCAGACTAGCCATGAACTCAAGAGTGATCCTCTTGCCCCAGCTCCCCAAGGGCTGGGATTACAAGTATGTACTGCCACAACTGATCCTATGGTATCTCTTTGTATGTACAAGTACTCAATGGGTGATTGAATATGTACAGGTATATCAGATTCAACTAAAGAATGAAATCACACCCACAGCTCTGTTAGACAATGTGTTCTGCAACAAATAACTTACAGAAGACAGGACTATCACTGTTGTGTGTATTATATGGTTTTACCATTCAACTGGTTGGCACTGTACCTAGTCCACCAACAGGATTCTCATTAACATGGGTTAACACAATCTTTCCCCTGAAGAACGTGGTAACAGTGTTCCATTGTATTATTCATGAAAAAGTTCTACTGCACCAAATTGATTCAATTCCTTCTCAGCAATGTAGAAAGTGCCTTACACCCCCCACACACACACACACACACACACACACACACACACACACACACAGTACCATCTCCAAGGTATTCTTCTGAGCAGTAATGTGTGACACTGTCATGTGGGCATTTCTATTTACAATAATATACACATTATACGGCTGGGCATCGTGATGCACGCTTTTAATCCCAGCACTCAGGAGGCAGAGGCAGGTGGATCTCTGTGAGTTCAAGGCCAGCCTGGTCTACATAGTGAGTTCCAGGCCAATTGGGGCTACAGGGAGACCTTGTCTCAAAAAGACCCTCCCCCCAAAAAACCCCCCACACAATAATATACACATTATCCTGTTGCATGGAGTCAAAGATTATAGTAAGATATGTCCTCAGAGTTTTTCCTCATATTGTTAGAGTGTGAATACTCTGATGCACACTAAGCACCGATTTCTGAACAAAGCCTTTCCCACAGACTATGCACTTATAGGGTTTGTCTCCGGTGTGAGTTGCTTGGTGTTTATTCAGATTGGACCTATCAGTGAAGGCCTTCCCACACTCAGCACACACATAAGGCTTCTCTCCTGTGTGAATTCGTTGATGTACCTGGAGCTGCGATTTCTTGGTGAAAGATTTCCCACAATTACTACACTCATAAGGTTTCTCTCCAGTATGAATTCTATGATGTGTAATCAATTCTGACTTCTGTCTAAAGGTCTTCCCACATTCAGAACAGATGTAAGGTTTCTCCCCAGTATGAGTTTTTTGGTGTTTGCTAAGATTTGACCTGCCACTGAAGGCCTTCCCACATTCAGCACACACATAAGGTTTCTCGCCTGTGTGGATTGGCTGGTGCACCAGGAGCTGAGATTTGGAGGTAAATGACTTTCCACAATCACTGCATTCATAAGGTTTCTCTCCAGTATGAATTCTTTGATGAGTAATGAAATTGGACTTTCGGATGAAAGCTCTTCCACATTCAGTACACACATAGGGTTTCTCCCCTGTATGAATTTTCTGATGCACAATGAGTATTGATTTCTGATTGAAGGCTTTCCCACATTCATGGCACTCATACTGTCTCTCTCCAGTATGAATTTTCTGATGTATATTGAGGTGTGACTTCTGGGTGAAGGCTTTTCCACAGGTACTGCATCCATATGGTTTCTCTCCTGTATGAATTCTCTGGTGTGTAATCAAGTCTGACCTCTGAGTGAAGGCCTTTCCACATTTTGAACATACAAAGGATTTTTCTCCTGTATGAGTCTTCTGATGTGTGATGAGATTTGACCTGTTGGTGAAGGCCTTTCCACATTTACTGCAAACATAAGGTTTTTCTCCTGTGTGAATTCGTTTATGTACATGGAGTTGTGACTTGGAAGTAAAGAGTTTCCCACAGTGACCACATTTATAAGGCTTTTCTCCAGTATGAATTATCTGATGTGCAACCAGGTGTGCTTTTTGGATGAAGGCCAGCCCACACTTCACACACACATACGATTTTTCTCCTGTATGGATTCTTTGATGCACTGTGAGGGCTGACTTCTGAGCGAAGGCTTTTCCACAGTCGCTACACTGATAAGGTTTCTCGCCAGTGTGAATTCTCTGATGTATAATTAACTCTGACCTGTAGGTAAAGGCCTTCCCACATTCAGTGCAAATGGAAGATTTCTCTCGAATCTGAACTTTCTTGTGTGTAATGAGATTGGAACTATTGCTGAAGCCCTTCCCATATTCAGTAGATACAAAGGGCCTCACTCTTGTGTGAATTCGCTGATGTACCTGGAGCTGTGACTTGGAAATGAAGGATTTCCCACAGTTACTACATTTGTATGGCTTTTCTCCAGTGTGAATTCTTCGGTGTGCAACCAAGTGTGTCTTCTGGATGAAGGCCTGTCCACATTCAATACATATGTAGGACCTCTCCCCCGTATGAATTTTCTGGTGCATCTTGAGTGTGGACTTCTGTGTGAATGCTTTGCCACAGTCAACACATTCATGGTGTCTCTCTCCTGTATGAATTTTCTGATGTATACTGAGATCTGAGTTATATGAGAAGCCTTTCCCACATTCACTGCATTCATAGAGCTTTTCTCCTGTGTGAATTCTCTGATGCCTGAAGAGAGAAGATACTTGGAAAAAGGACTTTCCACAGTCATTGCATTTATAGGGCCTCTCTCTAGTATGAGTTTTTTGATGTGTAAAGAATTCTGGTTTCTGTGCAAAAGCCTTCCCACACTCAATACATACATAGAGTTTTTCTCCTATATGAGAGTTCAGATGTACTTTGAGCTGTGACTTCTGGGTGAAGATCTTTCCAAATTCAGCATATTCATATGATTTCTCCCCAATGTGAATTTTCTGATATTGACAAGGTACTTGATTATAACTGAGGACTTTTCCACATTGATTATGGTCCCAGTCAGAATAGGAAGAAAATATGCCATATTCAGCTATCTTTTTAATTTTTTTTGATGGATTATTTCTATTACCGTGCAAATCTAAATTATGCTTCAGACCATTCCCAAATGACTCACACCGATATGATCTTGAAGAAGGAAGAAAAATGTTTGGGCTCACATGAATGATTTTTCTAATGTCCTTATATTCATGACTCTCTGTAGCCAGTATCTTGATGAAAGCAACATCACTTGCTGGTTTATTTTCTGTTTGCTGATAGGTCTCTTTCTGGTCAACAATCTGCTGAAATTCTTCTAGAATGAAATAAAAGAAAACATTTGTAAAACCATCTTATTGCTCAATGTGAAAAGAGGCTTTTAAGAACTTCCTGCTGTAAATCCAAACTCTTCTTCTTAAAGAAGAAACAAGTGATTTTAGTTTGAGATACAATTAGCCATGGGTAGAGGGCAGGGTACAAATGGCTCATCCAAGGTGAACCCAGAGGAAAGGGTAAGGTTAAATAATTTGATGAGTAAGGTGGTGATGGACCAGAAACATTCAAGTACACAATTCAACAGCCAAAGGGAAATAAACTAGGTGGATAGATTACATATGGGTGGATATAAAGAAAATAAGGCAAATAACAGGATATACAGAGCAAAGTGGCATTTCTATAAGCTAATGATACGTAGCACTAATTTAATTTTTTATGAGACAATGTCTCACTATGTAGCCCTGGTTGGCCAGGAAATCACAATGTAGACCAGGCTGGCTTCAAACGCACAGAGATCCACCAACTTCTACCTCCTGAGTGCTGGGATTAAGGCCACCATTCTTGGTTATTTTAAATTTTATAACATAGGTGAATTTTAAAATATTTCCATCATATAAAACAGTAACCTCCAGTGGGAAGGGAGAGGGATGTGAGCAAAAGAGAGAAAAGGGAATCCTCACTGAAACTCAGGATAAGTGTGGGGTAGGTCAAAGAAAATAAGAATAATAAAGAATGAGGCAGATTGCCACATGATCTAGAATCTAGAAAGCCTAGAAGAAGATAACAGAAATGACATAGGAGGTTTTTAGTTACTTGAAAAGTTAATGTCAAGGGTCCTCAAGCAAAACAAAAAAATTGAGAACCTTCTACTGAAGTCATCTTAAGAGCATTTCAAAGGTGCCCGTCTTTCTTGAGACCGCTGAGATTTTTCTCTCTCTTGCTTTGCTGAGGAGCCCTTACCTCACAGGTATTGTGGTCACTCACCTGGACAGCGCTGATATGGATTCTCACCCCGCAATGCCCATGGCTCCTTTCCTTCCTCCAGCATGAAAACCTCTGGTTTGGGAACTTGATATCCTGTTAACAAAAAATGATAAAAGACTAGGTCCAATGAAATTCTCAATAAAGTTTTTGTAAAAGTTTAAAAAAAAAGACTAGGTCCAGCCACTCAGTTTTTGAAACCAATCAGTAAAGTCTTCTCTTCAATAAGACTTTATTCTCTTTTTAATTTATTCTTATTTAATTAGACATATGTGTGTGTGTCTGTGTATGTGCATGAGTGTGCAGGTGCCCTTACAAGCCAGAGGTGACAGATCTCTCAGAGCTGAAGTTACAGGTGGTTGTGAACCACCTGCTGTAGGTGCTGGGAATCAAAGTCAGGTAATCAGGAGGAGTAAGCTCTCTTAACCACTGAACCATCTTTTCACCCAAGAGTATATGCTTAAGTAACCACATATCTCTATGAACAGAATAATATTTAGAGCACACAAAGAAGATAAAAGAATCCTGATCAGGGGCTGGAGATATGGCTAAGCAGTAGAAACACTTTCTGCTCTTGCAGAGGACCTGGGTTCAGTTTCTAGCACCCACAGCAGGTGGCTCAGAACTACCTGTAACTCCAGTTCCAGGGGATCCAATGCCTTCTTCTGACCTCTGAAGGCACCTGCACACATATGGTGGACATACATCCACATAAAATAAATCCTTAAAAGATCTTGATCAATCCAAGACAAAACCTTGACATGTTTAAGATGCCTCACAGCATGCATCCAACAGAGAAGGGAAACAGTGAGGCCTCCTTTCAGATATCTAAGAGGCCGAGCTTACCTACTGACAGCAGGTGGCTGTAGGTCTCCTGCATCACGTCCCGGTAGAGGGTTCTCTGAGCAGGGTCTAGGTGTTGCCATTCTTCTCTGCTGAAGTCTATCGTCACATCCATGAAGGACACTGATCCCTGTAAGGGCAAATTCCTATTCAGTGTATAGTCAGATGTCAGAGATGGAAAACTATATTTAGGAATATAGAATATGGACTTTGTTTCTGTCTTTAATGCCCTTTTAAAGACTTAGCTTTAATTTCCCTTTTTTTTCTATATTTATTTTTATTTTATGTGTAAGAGTGTTATGCCTGCACCTATGCATGCAGTTCCTGGGGAGACCAGAAGAGGGCATAGGATCTCCTGGAACTGGAGTTATGGAGGGATTTCTCCAGTCCCAGATTTATTTTATTTTTAATTATGTGTGTGCACACATGTGCTCACAGAGGACATTTCATCCCCTGGAGTTACAGGAGGTTGTGAGTCACCCAACATGAGTGCTGGGAATTGAACTTTCTCCAAGAGCATGCATACTCTTAAACTGCCGAGACATCTCTCTTGCCCTCTTTAATTCCTTTTTAAAAGCTCCTGGAGGGACTGGAAAGATGGCTCAGAGGTTAAAAACAGTTGCTGCTCTCCAGAGGACCCAAGTTCAGGTCCCAGCACCCACATCAGGCAGCTCACAACCACCTCTAGCTCCAGGGGATTCAACACAGGCATTGCACTCAGGTGCATGTACACACACTTAAATAAAAAATAAAAATAGTATCTTAAAAGTCACACACTTTAAAAAATAAAAATAAAATCTTAAATGTCTCTGTAGAATATGCCAGTGAGATTGCCAAATAGAACCCGTAACAATCATCCCACCATGAAAGATGGTCAAAGCAACAAATAAGCAACTATATTTTGATGGAACTAACTAAAGAAGAGTGCTGGAGTACATCAGAGGACTAGCAGAAACACCACATTGTACTGAAACCCACAGCCTCCCAGCCTAGGGGTAGCAGTCAGTTCAGATCTAGGAAGAAGGACTGGTCTCTGCAGGGAGAAGGTGAGAGGACCCCAGCATATCCATCATCACCTTAGGCACTATAATGGTGAGTTTGAATTGTCAGCTTGACACAATCTGGAATCATCTGGAAAGAATCTCAGTGAGGGATTGTCTAGATCAGGATGCCTGTGGAAACTTTTGTGGGAGGATTGTCTTGGTTATGTACACGATATGGGAAGACTCAGCCTACTGTGGGCAGCATCATTCCCTAGGCAGGGACTCCTGGGCTGTCTTAGGTGTACAGAGGGGCTGAGCACAAGTAAGCACACACACATTCATTCTCTCTTGACTGAGGAGATGACTAGCTACCTCAAGTTCTTGTCTCCCTCACTTCTCCACATAATGGACTGGGTCCTGGGACAGGGAGCCAAAAGACCCCTTCTCCCCTATGCTGCTTGTATTAGGGTTCTCTAAAGGAACAGAACTGGTAGAATGAATATATACATATATATATTTATCAGCTTAGCTCACAGGATAGAGTCCGAGTAGTCCAACAATGGCTGCACCACACTGGACAGGCTGAGATGCCATAGTCGCTCAGTCCACAAGGCTGGATGTCCAGTAGTTCCAATCTGGTGCTGAAGGTCTGACAAATTCGGGAACAGAACTGGTAGAATGAATATATACATATATATATTTATCAGCTTAGCTCACAGGATAGAGTCCGAGTAGTCCAACAATGGCTGCACCACACTGGACAGGCTGAGATGCCATAGTCGCTCAGTCCACAAGGCTGGATGTCCAGTAGTTCCAATCTGGTGCTGAAGGTCTGACAAATTC